CATACAAAGGCTGCCTGGGAAGACGGACAGCGTTGGAGCGATTCGAACCCGGGACTCGCGGATCATAAGCTTGTGACCTAACCATTTGGTCACCGGCGCCACCACCGTTCAGCCATAGGGTCCCATAATAGAAGAACTAATCAGCCACCGGGGACTGCTGACCGGACGCTGAAAGGATAACGTCTTTCAGGACACTTTTCCGCTGAGAAATACACGGTCAGCAGGATATCATGTTTGATTGTTTTTGTAAGCTTGATTTTTGTGGTAACACAACACCTCTAGGTTGGTGTTCGTTTGAATGTGCCTGAACGCGAACGGTTCATAAGCTTGTGGAACCGTGTGTCCATCTCATCGACCTGTATTGCTGTACGGAAGAAATTAGACGACCAACTACGACCTAACTTCATTTCCCCCTCCTCCAGATGGTCACGAAAACTTCCATCACATTGTCATTAGTGTCGTATTTGTTTTCATTCTTTACAACACCTGCTCACCACTTCGTACTGTAATTTTCAGTGTTGAGTAAGATCGCAACGCTAACTTGTTGTAAAAATTTGTTGGATGAAACTGCGGTCATGCGCGGTCAGACACAGCCTCTCGTGCTGCATTTGTGTCCAGCCGCTCATATTTGTTTGGTATTTACTGCATGGACTCGATTTTTCTCGCGTTACGACAACACCATTTGGTGTCCGACGTTTCCGTTAGGTATTACGCGTAATGTCAATTCACGTGACGTAGATTGTTTCGAATACCTGATTGTTCTGTACATGAGGCCCACGTGACAAATAAGCGTGTATGTATACAAGTTCAGACGTAATGGATCAATCTTTTTGTTATCCAGCCGTGCGTACACTGACGCAGTCTGGACGGTAGTATTTTTTCGGTTTATCGTAAGCAGTCTTATTCTATGCAGTATAGGTAAATCACTCATCAATGATTCGATGATTGAATTTTTGTCCTGCTCGATATCATGCTTTTCCTAATGAGGCCCTGTGGCTCGCCACTCCACGTATTACGGCTTACATCACCAATCTTTAAAACCAAACGGTTAGATTCTCATGACTGCATAATGCACCTTTTTCTGTTTCTTATTACGCAAAGTTTTATAACTGCTGTGTCTTTCAACCTATCACCGAATTTTGTCCCATGACACATTTCTAACGACTCCAGTCAAAAGACACTTGCGAAAACAGTGCGAACTTTTATTGGAAGCACCAGAAAAATGAGTTGAATAATGGAGAAACGTACTGCATTTATAGGATTATAAGCAATCGAGATTTTTCTCGGATGGAAAATACGAGGGCACCGATGGAAGGTACGGATCCATCAGATTGCAATATTCTGTCCGCTATCTTGGGTTCCATCATTCCAGTAACATTGTGAAAACGCCAGCACATTCTCGCGGTAGCGATTGTTCCAAATCCATTTTCCTTTGATACCTTGGTAGTTTTCCTTGACAATAACAAAATGCTATCAGCGTGTGATCGCATCGAGCCTGCCTTATCCGTTTATACCGTTAATAATTCGTGAATAGCTAACCTTTGCAGATATCATTGATTGCGTGGTCATTTTAATCCCCAAACTGAATCGAATGTGAATCATGCAGTGTTGAATATGCTATCGATCTGTCACTTATCTTTACTAAGTTCGACTCCCCAGCAATTGGACTAGAACCCGACAGTTCTGACCTGACTACTTTGAAAAGGACTGTTTCTGGCCGAGCCCTGTAATCAGCTGTCTGTGTAGATTAGCGTCACACCAAGCATTAAGTGAGCTTTCTTGTGCTTCGATGATGCTCGAGACGCTCGGTGAGTGTATCCAATGATGTACAATTCCCATTTAGCCTTTTGCTGTTGATTGGGTCGTGTAGTTAGTTCGCAGTTTTGGTTTGCTCATCTCGGTTGAGTAGCTCAATCGTGGAAGTTTG